TAAAATGGTAGTATCAATGAGTTACCATTTGAAATGTTAGATAACGGAGTTCTAACATTTAGACTTGAAGGAGAAGTTTGGAAATATGATTTTTTTGAAACATTGACACTTGATGTAGATGCGGATAGGTTTTTATTTGGATGCACAAATCCTTTGAATTTGGCTGCAAAAAAAAAATTGTGATAACAAATGGATAGATTTGAAATAATAATGTAACTCCCGAAAATATTCTATGAATATTAATATACAAAAAGACATAATACAAAAAATGAGCATGTGAGAAAATTGAATTTAGATATTTAAATTTAAATTTAAATACAGAATAAAGAAGAAAAGTGTATAACGAATTAAGTAAATTATCATTTTCATTTATTTTAAAAAGATGTGATGTTGATGTAGTTGTATGGATTCATTCGGTAAAACCTTTTTTTTTATTGTCCAAGTATAATTTTCTTATTCTTCTTTTCTCTGTAGCCTGAACATGATAGATATTCCTATTTGAAGCTGCATAATCAAATATACACACATGAAATAGTTATAATTCAGATTAAAAACATTGATAAAGAAAGTTGTAAAATATATAATGAACGTACCGTTATCACCAGGGTTAGTAACATTTGTAGAAGTTGGAATTTGACTGACTGATGTAGTGTACGAATGCAATTGTTTTGTATTATCCAGATAGAAATTATTTAATTTTATCTTCTTATTAGTCTTGAAGGAGTCCATGTTAGTAGTTGCTATCTGAAATGGAACAAAATATATAACTTTATACAATAGTTATTATCATTTGTGAATAGGGCATTTGATTAGTGGGTTTAGATATGTAATTTTATTCATTTGTCGATTGTTTGAATTGCTAATTTTGTTATCTTGGATTTGGCAACAACATCATCAGTTTCGGAAAGACTGATATTTCATATCAATACAAAATGAAGCAAATGACCACAAAAGTCTATGTTATGCATGCCGATTAATAATTGACACTCACTTGAATACATCTAACGTTGTTACATTATATTAACTATAAATGGACGTTCCTTTTTAAGCTTATTTAATTTTTGTTCACAATAGAACTCTTGAAATGTTCGAATGCAAATACAAAATTAAAATATGAATTTGATTTTTTTTGGTTTGTGGTTATGCAATTATTTTTTTAGTAATTATTCACATCATTAATTTATTTAAACATATTTTATTATAACTTTTTTTTTGTATAAATAAAACTTATATATTATTAGTTTAATAATTTTTTATAAATCTTTTACCCGTGGTTTCCACGGGTTGTAACCTAGTTAAAAAAAATGTTGTCGATTGAACTTACGTATGACATGAAATACTAAAGTACAATGGCTTTATATGTAATGTTTCTGAATTTTGTTGCAGATACCATAATAGTTGATTTTTAAATTGGTGCTAGTGTTTCATTGTTCTTCATAATAGTTGGTTGCTAGAAGAGTTCATAATAACATTGGTTTTGAACATAAAATTATGATTGTTTTAATCCTTTCCAACATCAGAATTCACATAATAGATGTTTTTGAATTGTTTGATTGGTTATAAATATAAAAATCTCCTTAGATGTCAAAACTTATTACTGTATATATTTGTTTGGGTTTAATTTTTTTCTTGTCAGATCACTTTGTTTTAAAAATTCAAAACTTATCTGCTCTCATAATTTGCAACATGAATTGAGAACTTATATCAGGTTGTATCTTTCTTAGCTCGAGTATTATTTTATTCAATATATTTTCTAAAATTATAGTATGTGTTTGACACACAGTATCATATATGGGCATTGTTATTCCTTTCGCTTATGGGCATAACAATTAAAAAAATTGCAGGCCGTGGTAGGGGTATATTAGTCCAATTTGCTCTTCTTCATAGTTAAAGAATACAGAAAATCGAAATTGGAAGTACAAAGATAATAGCAATCCATTCAAACAGTACATGTGATCAATGTCTGTGATGATTAACACAGATATACGTAAGACAAGGTTATTTTTACACATACACATACACATTGATGATCAATTTAGTGGATCGAATAAAGAATTTAAGATAGAAAATAATTAATAAACAACTTCTGAATCAAAGATAAATAGAAACTTTGAGTAACAAATTCAATGAGAAGCAAAATTGAAGTCGCAGAAGAAGAAAAGAATTTTCAATTATACGATTAACACAAACATTGAGAAGCAATGATACTTAATCATGAGAAACTCACCGAAGGATTGAAGTTGTTGATTCAAGATTCGAAATTAAGAAGCAGAATTGAGATGCAGAGACGGTCGTAGGGATTGAATTATGTAATTGAAGCGGAATATGATTGATATAGTATGTTATGCGCATAATAATTGATTGATATGCATACCATTTTTAGATGCTCTTAATCGGGCATGTGACAGAATTTATTTAATGTATACAGCAGTTATTCCATATTCAAATTTCAAATTACAAAATATGGATATTTCGATTATTAATCAAATCAAATCAAAGATTGTAATAGTACGTGAAACCAATCAGGGGTAAAAATGAGATTTAACATTGATAGGAACGTGAATTTTTGGTAGGACAGTAGTCAAAAATTCAAACAATCGTTTTATTTATTAATTTATTTATGCTTCCAAAGGACAACGTTAAGGCATAGGAAAATTTTTATAAAATTTGATCTGTATATGATTCCTTTGTTTGAAAGAAAAGTTCAATTTAGTAATATACCAAATGTATCCTTATTAGAAAGAGGCCGTTAAGTTGGATTTGTAAAATTTAGTAAAAATAGGTAAAAATGTTAGGAAAATAAGTCAAAATTCTGAAATTGTTAATTGTATATTAAAAAAATATGGATGTAAAATTTTGCAATAGTAATGGATTTAAAGAATGATAAAACATAACCTAAACAGGAAAATCATAAAAATAGGAACCAAGTAAGATGCTAAATTTGAGAGAAAACAAAAGTTAAATGCTATAAACAGCCATAAAACAGAAAGTGCAAAGTGTGATTCAAAATTTATATAGCTATTTTATAGAAATTTGACAGAAAATGAAATGCTAACTGTTTTGTTATAATTACTTGTTTGAAAGAAGCATGTTATAACAGGTAAATAACTGAAAACTAAAATTCTATATTACGGTAGACAAAGGGTATTAATGGAATTGTAAGTAAAGTTTACTGTCGTTAATGCTTGCTGCCATAACTACTTGTTTGAAAGAAGCATGTTATAACAGGTAAATAAGTGAAAACTAAAATAACGAAAATTGATCTTGATCTTGATACCAAGGGTAAATACGGAATTTTACAAATGTATAACAACAAATTGAGTATACAAACATAGCCAAAAAATGCAGAAAATCGAAATTGAGTATAGAACAACAAAGATAAATTTGGCCTTTACGATTAAAAAGCCGTATAATATGATCAAATATAAAAATAAAGTATATGCCAGTTATAATAACATACCAAATACCAAAAGAGCAACATACGAATTCAATTCATATTACAAGCCAATTGCAATTTGACTTTCAAAAAAACAAAACCAGCTCTTCTTTCTTCAAAGGAATACACAATAACCTCTTCAGGAACAATCTCCTTTATCAAAACAGGGGCAGGTGTAAAGCTGTTTGCATCGCAATAGAACCCGTAGTATATGGGGTGGAGGGTAAAATCGGAATTAAATTTGTTTTTGGAGTTCTATTTGTATTTTCATCATGTAAACCAAATATTGTAGTTTTAGTAGGGGTAGTAAATGGCGACATATTGTTATTGTTATTTTGAAATGTTTTTTGTAGGATGTCGTGTTTTTTCTCAGCTTCTGTTGTGACATTAGGGGTAGTTTTGGAAGAAATGGGAGAAAAAGGCTTGCGGAATCCATCGATTTTTTTGGTAGGACGGGAAGTAGTAGGGGTAGTTTTGGAATTGATATCCGGTTTAGGAGTTGCATGAGCTAATGATAATCTTCTGTTGGTTGTAGTCTTAATTTATGGAATTTAAATGATTGAAATTTTAGAGCTCATCAAAAGAATTGACAAAGGGCAAAATTGACATCTGATGCATTGTTTATTCTGTTGCGTGTTCAATATTATGAGAAATCTCATTAGACAGCTTGATTAGAATCTTTTTTAATACAATACCTCAAATAATATCAAAGCACATTCCCAAGAATGCATGCACCAATATACCATTTTATTGTGAAAATTATGAATATGTCCATGTTTAAAAAATGATCATTATTTTGAACAGGAATTTATTGAATGTATTCAAATTTGAGACATCTTTTTTATAAAGCAAATATACTGATATCTTATAACACGAAATTGAAAAGTAGAATGTTATTGAATGTAATTTTTTTTATTTTTATTGCAAATATATTGGTAAAAAAATCTGAATGTGATAGATGAACCTAGAAACAACACACGTTTTAGAGTTATGTTGGTTGTTACTGGTGGGCATTTAGTTGGTTGTGTATTTGATGGAAACCCCAAATGTTGCCCATAAATTATTCCAGAGGTATGTACTTTATTTATGTTATCACTTTAATTTCATCAGAAAAATTATTTATGAGGTTAAAATGAATACATCCTTGCCCAGAACCAAAAAATATGCCTTATTAGTATATATGATTGTAAATACATGTAATGTAATTTAGTTGTATGTAATATACTTATTTGTATATGCTTGAAACGAACTAATACTTATCAAGACCACCATCGTTAAATAATTAGTATATTTCTGATAAGACTCTTTAGAAACATATTTATTTGCTTATTTTACACATAAATTCACAAACATATATGCCACACATTTATTAAAAGAAGATTAGTCTAATTACAATGATAACCATAAAATGATAATCGTATTAAAATATAGAATACCAGCGAAAATAAAGCAAGAAGTATCAATGTTTGAACAGTAGACACCACAAAGAGCAATACTGTGAAAGAGAATCCAAAAAAAAATCCAAATTCAAGAACATTGTTGATTAAAAAAGGACAATCTCAAATTACTTTTCAAGCTTTGGTATTAATAGACCTGTGTTGCCATCAACTTTAGAATTCAATCGAGGGACCTTGGTGGATGAATTCACATTATCATAATCATCAACATCAATGGTATCTCCAACATTTCGTTTTTTTACTGTTGTTGGGGAATTATACTTGAACGGACTTGTAGCTTCAAATTTGTCGGGCAATGTTGGGGTCAAATTATCACCTGTTTGCGATATCGCATCCTTAAAACAAAATGTTGTAAATAGGTTTAGTAATAAAATATTAAGAAAAAGTAATCTTTTTAATAGATTATATAAAATTAAATAATGTAAATTTATAATATAACCTTTAAGGACTTTGTTTCTTGAGATACTTCATGAGATGCGATTTCTGTATCATCAGCATTTGCAGGACTACCTGCCTGAATCAGAAATTTAAATATTTATATAATTTGTGGGACATAGGTCTAAATCAATATAGATTTACAATTTATTAGTGAAGATCATTAAAAAAATATGCATCATAAAAAGTAATTTTAAAAAAACAAATAAAAATAATATATAAATACCTCGACAGCTAACTTTTTTTCCAAAGCATCGATAACGTTACTATCAACCGTATAGCCAAGTATCCCAAACCGATTGTAGTTATTGGATACATTAAAACTGTTAACATCTATCTTAAAAGCCATCTTTTTATGCTCCAAACATTTGAGGTCGTAAGGATATAATCTTGGATTATCCCCAGCCTGGAATAAATGTGTTATATAATATATTTATGTTTAAAAGCACATTAAACTAAAGAAAATACAACAAATAACAACAATTAAGAAAACAAAAATTAAAATTACGTTATACCTGTTTGATTTTATCTATAAGATCACGTGCGCGTTTTTTGACGATTCTATAAGCATCTCTATCGAAGAGAGTTAGAGTGATTGTTCCAGAATCATCTTGCACACGAATAGGTATTTTATACCTATAAAAAATTCCCAGATAAATAAACATTAAATATGTTTAATGGTTAATAATGTAGTTAAGTTGTTCTGTTGATATTTTCTTAAATGTAAAAAAACCTTGGAACAGAAGAGATCGTCTTATTTTTACAATTATCACCATTGCATTTTAAAACGACACTTGCATCACCACTATCTGCACCACTGAACAAATCTTCTGTTTGAACTTTCTTTCCACAGTTTGTACACGCATCATAATACCAATCAATATCTTGGCGAATACCATAAATGGTCCCGACAATGATATATTGGCCGACCTAAAATAAAATCAAAACGATCATAAAAAACATTATAATTTTATTATCTGTTAAATAGAAAACAATATGACATCAATACAGATAAAATATTCACATACCTCTTGTGGTTCTATCAAATCGACAACATTTTTAACTTTGTAGTTATTCAAAAAGTCATCAAATTCCGAATATGATTTAGAGCTTTCAACAGTCAAAGAAGCAGAAGGGTTTTGAAGTCCTCTTAATCCAACCAAGCTGTTTTTAATTTAGGAGTTTGAAAATAAAATTATAAAATTATTGAACAGAAACAACAAAACGATGAATTATTAAAAGGTACAGTTACCTATCTGTGAATGTAACAATTTCGGGAAGATTAGCATTTATGAACATCCGTGTGTGTTCAAAATAACTGTTCACAGAAGGTGTTGCTGATGAAACAAAATAAAATAGTAAATAGAATGAGTAATATAAAAGACTAAAATAAGGTTGATTGGTATAAAAAATTTACCGTTATAGACATTAATTCTTGCAAATTGCAAAAGGACAATCACACGACCAACTTCTTTATGAGCTTCAAGATAAGAAATTAACTGGTATGCAATATCTCCAAACAACGTAACATTAACCTGCAAACCTCTGCAAAAATAATAATGGTTAAATGAATATATAATACTAAAATTCTACATGCAAGTTGTAAGTAATGAATATAAGATATAAGATATAAGATATAATATAAAAAAAGTTTTGGTTACTCTAAGTTTCTTATTTGTAAAGGCAGCCTATGTAGAGATTTGCTGACATCACGGGAATCAAGCTTTCCTAATGAAACAACTTCACCAATAATATCTACAAAATGATAATACAGAATGTCAAAATGATGTGAATTTAAAGAATTAAATATAATATACAATCAATAAGGAGGGAAATTACCAATTGATTCATTAGATGTAGCTGTTAGAGATAATTGTTTCAAAAGAAACAAAAGAAAATCCATATTTTGTTTTGGATTGAAAGTGTAGACACTCGTTAACAGTTGTTCTTCTATGGAAATTTAACTTGGAGGTTACATCACTTATTTTAAAAGTGTATTTGTTAGGAGCGATAGTGGGGGACCGGATGTAAACAGCTTGATCTTCTTTCAATTTGGACTCAAACCTTTGAAAATCTCTTGGATACACACTTGCTCGGATTTTGTACACTATTCACATAGGGTAAGAATATTATATAATGTTAAAAACGGAATTTTTAATAAATATAAATTGGTCAACATTGAAGATAACATCTTCAATGATTGAGTTTGAATAATATTATTGGAATGATCAAATAAAAAAAAATGGTTTTGAATAATGCTATGAAAATAGTAGATTTTACCATTTCATCCATGAGTATCATCTCAATTGATCTGACAATAGTGGGGTTGCCATCTGAAAGCGATTTCCACAGCCGGATAATAGACACTTTTAGTGTGTAATCATCATTCATATTGTCCAAGTCTCTAATGAAAGTGATCTTTGTTTCTGCCATTGTCACTATAACAGAAAAGTACACAAAATAATTACAATTATGTGTATCGAGTACTAATAATATAAGAACGAACTGAATAATACAAAAAATATAGATGTAAAATTTTGCAATAATAATGGATTTAAACAATGATAAAACATAACCTAAACAGGAAAATCATAAAAATAGGAACCAAGTAAGATGCTAAATTTGACAGAAAATAAAAGTTAAATGCTATAAACAGCCATAAAACAGAAAGTTTTGATTTCGCAAGTTTAGAGTTCAAGAACTAAACTGTGTTCGCATCTGGAATGAAAATTTTGTGGTTCGCATTTGATTAATTAGGTTAAAATGTGAAGGTGATTAATGCGAAGGGATGCGAAGGGTGTAAGAATGAAGATGCGAAGTATTTCACAGTAGAATGCGAATTGGGGAAGAAAACAGAAATTTTCAAATATTGTCCCTGGAGTTTCGCATTTTGGAAATAAATACTCAACTTCGCAAATGGGGGTCATAAAATGATGAAATTGCAGAATTTTAAAGAGATACAAAAGAATTGACAGTAGAATGCGAAGGTGATTAATGCGAAGGGATGCGAAGGGTGTAAGAATGAAGATGCGAAGTATTTCACAGTAGAATGCGAATTGGGGAAGAAAACAGAAATTTTCAAATATTATCCCTGGAGTTTCGCATTTTTGGAAATAAATACTCAACTTCGCAAATGGGGTCATAAAATGATGAAATTGTAGTCTTAATTTATGGAATTTAAATGATTGAAATTTTAGAGCTCATCAAAAGAATTGACAAAGGGCAAAATTGACATCTGATGCATTGTTTATTCTGTTGCGTGTTCAATATTATGAGAAATCTCATTTGACAGCTTGATTAGAATCTTTTTTAATACAATACCTCAAATAATATCAAAGCACATTCCCAAGAATGCATGCACCAATATACCATTTTATTGTGAAAATTATGAATATGTCCATGTTTAAAAAATGATCATTTTTGAACAGGAATTTATTGAATGTACTCAAGCTTTGGTATGTACTTTATTTATGTTATCACTTTAATTTCATCAGAAAAATTATTTATGAGGTTAAAATGAATACATCCTTGCCCAGAAAATTAAACTAAAGATGATAAATTACAGATTATAGCATTGTTCTTTGAGAATAAATTACTAAAAATGGGATATAGTGTAACAGGAACTTCAAAAAGAAATTGATACTTTTTGTTTATTATATAAAACGGTTTGATAAATCAGACGAAAATAATTAATAAACAACTTCTGAATCAAAGATAAATAGAAACCTTGATTAACAAATTCAATGAGAAGCAAAATTGAAGTCGCAGAAGAAGAAAAACAATTTCAATTATACGATTAACACAAACATTGAAAAGCAATGATACTTAATCATGAGAAACTCACCGAAGGATTGAAGTTGCTGATTCAAGATTCGAAATTAAGAAGCAGAATTGAGATGCAGAGACGGTCGTAGGGATTGAATTATGTAATTGAAGCGGAATATGATTGATATAGTATGTTATGGCATAATAATTGATTGATATGCATACCATTTTTAGATGCTCTTAATCGGGCATGTAACGGAATTGATTTAATGTATACAGTAGATATTCCATATTCAAAATTTCAAATTAGAAAATATCGATATTTCCA